TAAAGGATTTGACAGTATTGCGGATTTTGAATAATTTCAGAAAAATTGTATACAAATCAAACATTTTTGAACACCACACTTTCAGGCTGCACTGTTCTACACTCTTAACACTTCTTTTTATTTTCAATATAGGGTTGCTCCTGAAGGAGTAGACCTTGTATTAGATTGTCTTTGTGGTGACGACACTAATAAAGGATATAGTTTATTGAAACCAATGGGAAAATACATTCTTTATGGTAAGTATACAGACCTGACAGCGAGCGCCCTCTAGTAGTTATAGCAACCTCTAGTAGTTATAGCGCCCTCTTGGAGTTGTATCGCCCTCTATATCTCACTCCAGTAGTTATAGCTTAGACTCTGTTATGGTACAAGCTTTTTGATTGGCTCCTTCAAAACATAGGTGAGGCACCTTGATTGGTGCATTTGAAAGCTGTTAAAAGAGCAATGAAATCTTACTTGTGATAATGTTCAGGTGCCATGATGCTGTGGTTTACAATGAAGTGCCCTCCAGAAATAAATGCACACAGCGTTTCAAGTAGACACCGGCATAAGGAGTGTTGAGTGCATTTTGAAACACTAATGATGACTGTTTTTCTTTGAACGTTAAAAAATGAGATACATTGGTCAGTACTATATAGACTTTCACAATTAAAGCAAAAATTAACACTCACAGATCTGATTTTAATAAGTTTTTGTTAAAATGCATGCTAGTATATCAATACATTACCAAAGCTTGTCTCATCTGAACACTTTAAATTTTCCTACAAAATTAGTCCAAGGCAATTTAGAAAGTTTTGACCTTGAAATTTTGTGTCTAAAAATACCAAAGTTCAATATAACTCCTGCATTAACATTTAGACTAATATTACCATATATGAAAATTCATTAAAATGATTTTTTTTTTTACAAAGTACATAATAAACTTTTACTGCTTCTAAATCAATAATGCTAATCAATAATTTGGTCATGGGTTATTTTAAACAAAGAACAAAACCATGATCAATTGTATAAACTTAAGATATTTCTGTATTTCTCAACATTGCCAAAATCATCATTTTGAAGTTTAAGGTAGAATGCTACACAAAAGTAAAAAATATTGTAATTTTTCCTCATTTTTACATGAAAATAGAATAAAAAATATGGGGTCACCATACTCAGAAGAAAATGTTGCATATTTTGTCTGTTTTAGGGCAGTTTACCATTGTTTCCTACGAAAGGGATATATCTCAATATCTCAAAATTTTGCATGTTTTCATTGTGGTCTATGGCAACAGCAGCTAAAATGACTTTTCATGCATAATATTTTACCATTTTTTCTCCAAAAAAAAAACAAACAGATTGACAGTGAACAAAAAAGTTGCAGACAGATTTTGACACAAAATATTGTCACTGTTCAATGCATTAAAATAGCAAGTAGCATATTACTTAAACTAGCGGTGAGCGAATTCGAAAATGCATTTATTTTCGAGTCTGACCTTAGTACTGTATTTTATTTACATGAATAACAGAGGTGTGTCCATAGTCAAAATGCAACATATTTGAACATTTGAGATACAATAAATGCAATTTACATGCACTTCCATTACAGATGTGCTTCTATTAGGAAAAGTGGGGGGGGGGTCAAATTTGAACTAAATAAAAAAAAACAGTATTTTGACAGCAGTGTTGATTTCCCAAGAGAAGTGAACACTTATTCTAAGATACATCATATTACCAGTTCAATATTTAAAGGATCAAGCTGTTGCATATTTACAACTCAGTTAATCTAGTATTCAAGCTTGAATATATAAGAAATTGTTGTACATTCATTGAATTTTGTTCACAATAATCTGATATGCCAGTACTATAGAACACAGATTAATCTAACCAAGTGAATGTGCTTATAAAAGTTATAACTGCACTGAATGCCATGTAATATTTTAGAAATTGCGAGTTCATAAGAAGACAAGACATCAAGGCACTTTTCTCAAAACTGGGAGAATTCACCTCATCAGGGAACAAATAATAATAACTTTATTGCCTCCGTGTAAAAAAATTTACAAATGTAGGTCTCGATGAAGAGATAGCCACTTGATACACAGTTTAGTTAATCACATGAGACATTTTTTTACAACCCAGGATATCCACGCACATTTAGAACAACCCAACAACAAACTACACATTCATTTTGAGGGTGTGTTATCAATAATTGTAGAAAAACAAACATTTTCCCTTTGTTTTGTGTTTTTCATACAAGGAAAATGGGTAAAAGACTCCTGATTGGGGAATATTCTACCAAAATGTTAATCTAATTTGTTCACATGTAGAAAATTTATTGAGAGATTTGTCAAATATATAGCACTGTAACGGATATTAATGAAGAAAATGTCTGCTTGTTTGGAGATAATTTCAATTGCGGGGGAAGTACTTGATATTTAGTATTCAAAGTGTGTAAGTGAGCCCTGAGATATAGTAATGTAAATAGTAATGTAATGTAAAATCACTACGGATGGCACTAAATTGTATCCAGTGAGTTAAATTTTGATCTCAGTACTAGTTCTTCACAGTCATTGACGTCATAACGCTGAAATAACGTGGTGCAATCATTTACTGACCTGCAAACACACTTCTTTCGATAAATCAGCTGGGAATCACGTGTATGAGTCAAAGGTGAAAATGTGCACAGTTTATTGACCCTTTGGCTAAATTTGAATATTGAGCTAGAGCATCATGGGAAATGTTGTTTTTTGAAACTTTTGATGAAATTTCACCTTAAATTGGGAGGTTTTCATGTAAATATCAGAAAAATAATTTATATAAATAATGTACTGAGTATTCAAAATATTTTAACACGGTAAAAAAGATTAAATTTTGATAAGTCTGATTTTTGATTGTTTTGAAAACCATACACAGATGTGTGGCAATGGTAGTATGAGTTGTAGGTTTAAACAGTTATACGGTAAGATCATACTTTTAGGGATCATTTCTATAGTATGTATCACGATTCCATCACTGAAAAGTGACGAGAAACGCAAACCATGATGATGAGTGACAGTGTTCTCTTCTGAGCGCGAAGCGGGCCTTGAGTGCTGCCTTGGCAGCCGCTCTTGGTCATTGATGAACGTTCCTCTCTTCCTTGTTTGAGGAGTGGAGGAAGAGAACGCATTCAGAGTGGTTTCCCCTTTTTATTTTAATTGAAAAATAGAATACATTATCTAATTCGCATTATTACTCGCACATGTTATATTGGAACCTTGTTGCCTTGTGTAGGTTCTTCCAATGTTGTTTCAGGCGAGACTAGGAGCTTCTTCAGTTTTGCCAAAGCAGTAAGTGCAATTTATTTATTATGCGCATGTTATGCTTGGTTATATGCAGAAGGGACAGCCATTTGAAGGAGTAGGGGGGGGACTGCTGGAAGTGTCACCTGTCATAGTGTCTTATCTGTACATTTTTCTTGTGCCAACATATTTTATTTATTTATATGAATGTGAACTTTTTTTGTTTTAAATAATAAATTCGATAACAAATTAGCATAATAGAAGTTGAATGGGTCGCAAAATAAAAACAAAAGAGGCATGTCTCATGAGCTCTTTCTTAATGATCCCTCCACCTTTTTAACATTTTTGAATTTTTTCATCACATTGTTAAATTCAAAATAAAAAATTACTGAACCCCATTGCAATAATGATTTACTGAAATCAGTGATGTTTTTCTTCTCGCAATCACAGTGGTGGCAAGTAGATAAAATCAATCCACTGAAGCTGTATGATGAAAACAAGTCTATCTCTGGATTTATGCTCCAAAATCTCATATTTAATCAAGGACATGTTGAAGTATTACGTGATGTGATGGTTGAAATAGTGAAGCTGTACAAAGATGGCAAGATAAAACCTGTTATTGACTCTGTGTATGCTTTCGAAGAGGTTTGTATTTAACTTTCAAAAAATTGTTTTTTGTCCATTTGTATTATATAAAATCAATAATTTTTTTTTGTTATTTTAATTTTAAATGAGTCATTAAATGGGACTTTAACATGATTTTTCATTAAATTTTACCCCTTTGGGTTAGTTTTTTGGCCCATTTCAAATTATTATAATTTAATTATGGAATATACAACAATTTACAAAATGTTGGCACAAAAACTGGATGATCATTTTTTTCTTTTCTTCCTGAAAATTGATCATCTTAGCTACAGAAATGATTGTAATAATCACCGGTATGTTCAAGTCTATGATGGATCACACAAAAAGAATAAGCAACATCACTAATTTATACAATATTTATATTTATGTTATAAAATATTTTTTCTACACGAAACAAATATGCATCATTACAAATCAATAGTTTTATCTAATCATATCAATCATTTGAGCTGCTTTTTTAACAATAAAGTATTTTTTAACTTATATATATACTGGTATGCGATGGTTGTGTTTAACATGTGTGCATTAAATCTAATAAACTTTTTAACATCATTAGAAACAAATATGTAAACTTTTTTTTTCTCCTTTTCAAAGATAAGTGAAGCCATGCAGAAATTGCATGATAGGAAGAACATTGGTAAAGTGGTAATTAGTCCCCTTAAAGAACCACAACCTAAGGTGGGTGCATAGTTATACTAAAATTAAATGAAGATCCTTCACAAAAATGGAGCCTAAATATAATTTTGATGACAGCGGAGAAATGTGGCTTACATGGCACTCCTTTGGCACTCAGCTATTGCTGAGATTTTCAGCACACCTTAGAGCAATATATACTTATAGTTCAAATGTTGACATTTGAGCTGCATCTGGGCAGGAATCGATCTCTCAGAAGTAGATATTAGATCCACTGAGCATACAACACAGCTTTTACAATAATTACATTTTTATTTCACCTAGTAACATGATTCCTCAGTGATGAGTAAATTGTTCTATTTTTGGAGTGGAATTCTCATATTATTACAGCCATATTGAAATAAATAAAATTCTCTTATTTACAGCCTGAGAAACCCCTGGATAGCCAAGCTAGTGTTAGTAGTGATGGAGAAAAAGAACAGGAGAAGGCAGAGGAGGCCAAATAAGTAAGGACAAGTTTCTATTTTTTTCAAATGAATGAGAAATTGTCAATGAGGTAAAAAATAATGGGTAAAGGAAAAAGAAACAAATATTTCACAATTTACAGGCAAAAAAATAACCAAAACACAAAAAAGATTTCGGCTGACTGTAGAGGAGAGGATACTTAATCTATGTCTAAAGGTTATAAAATTCCTTTCCTGAAAAAAATAGTACCTACAATTAGAGATAACTTTTTTTTTTTTTTTCTTTATTTTTCCATTATGTGATGTAATATTTTGTGTTGTATGTCCATTATTGAAACGAAATAAAAATATTGTTTAAATAAAAAAAATAAAAAAAACTTTATTCTAATGTTCCTTCTTTGACTTCAAGTGCAGTTGGAAACAAAACAGAGTGATTTTTACATAATTGATGTAGTTATTTTTATATTCCAGGCACAGAAGGACTTCAGGCACATATTGTACTGAGAAAAAAATCATAAATACATAATCCCCTATTCAACCAGCTGTGGAGACTCATCAGCCACCCCTGCAAGTAAAGTAGAATCTTCCACAGGAGATGATTGACTGATCCATATCATGGCTGAATGGTAACCAAGATATTAAAATCTTAATCATTTTTTTTGTTGCTATGAGTAATAGAAAATTGAAATTTGTAGTTTATATGAGCCAATATAATTGAAAATGAAATAGGGTTTGCAAGACAATAACAAATAAACATGAGCACTATTATTACTAGTTCACAGTTTACTGTCATAGTCAACTTTTTTGAAATTTCATGTCAGCTGTAAACATCAATTCATATCTAGTTATTTTTTGACAAGACATGAAAAACAATGGCAATATCTTTGAATTGGACTTGTGCTTCACTGAAGATAAGAAAAGTACTGAAATATGAAGAAAAGTTGACATTAGCAGCATTTTAATGAACTTGCCTGGTGCTGTTATCTGAGTAAATACATGTAATGGAAATATTCTGTTAGATAAAACACAGCAAACAGCATCGGGATTAATTCTGGAAAATATTTTGCATTTCGGAAAAGTTCCCATTTTTGTCAACATTTATCTGTATTTGTAAGGTACCGGTAATTGCATAACGAAAATCACTGTTCCCATTTTAAGTTGACTTTTTTTTAATATATTTACCAAGATATTGGCCGATAAAAATTATACTGGCAATTTTTTTTAAATCTATGAAAAAAATTAAATTAAATTAAAGAATCAACAATGTTTGATCAATACCTACCGGTATGTTCAGATTTTAAAGTTTGCAACAATAAGTATTTTTCGAAATGCAGTGGATTTTCCAATATTACTCTGGTATGCATGGAGAGTAATACATTACCATGATCTTTCTGTCAATCTTATAAATGAAAAAAGTCATTACCAAATTGTCTTAGAAGTTTTGCTGCTGATTCCTAAGATGGAGCACAAATGCAAAAGTCTTTTGCAATTCATGTATGTAATGAACTCAAATTTGTGAGATTCTTGAAAATCAAGAAAATAAGGAAATTATTTTTGGAACTGTGGCATGCTTTTAAATTAGAATTTGGTGATAGAATTGTAAATATAGAATGTAACTACTACTATGGATTTGTTATTGAGTCCAATGCTTGCCTGCATCAACTTTGTTGTGTATACTATTGTATCATATTTCAGTAGATATACCCATGAGATGATATTAAACTGATCAGTCACCCGTCAGTAGTTTGGTCAGGCTTGCAATTGATCAA